AAAAAAATAGATCTTGAGGCATGACAAAGTATTTAAAACTAAACAATAATCAGATAACTATCGCTCGATCAGTTAAGAGTTGTCAAACCGGCCAATGACAACATAGTACCACAAGCAAGCATATCACTGATAAGAAAAAGTAATAACCCAGAGATGGGGCGTAAACAACCTCAAGCATGACGACCTAATGTCCACGGAGAGGGACTTGAACGGTAGGTCATCAGCAAAAAAATAGGTAGAGGTTGTTGCCAACTATGGCCTCCGCGGCAGCCTGGATAATGATTCATCCAAACTTCGGACACATGATTCATCATAGGCAGCATGAAGTGTAACTAACAAACGGCACCAAGAAACAACTGTACTTGATAAAGAGACCATTTGAAGTTTCAAAAGTTTAGGGCAAGTCATGGGCCAGAAGGTGCATCAAGTTTGACATGCCATTAAACTAAACAAAGATAAGATGTTCACTTTTCAACCCTTCTAGGCATCTTTTGATTTACGCATAAAATCTATAATCATTTGTTGATCGCAAATTAGGAGGTGATGGCAATGATATAGTATCTTCGTCCACTATTATCGATCCATTGTGTGTTGCATGCTCTACCCGGGAGTACCTGTTGCTGTCACACCAAAATTAAAAATCACTTCACTATACAACAAGACAAATGGTGGAAAAAGTGTTAAATACCCTAGAAGCTTGACGGGAAGGCATCAATTTTTTCACCTCTTCACCGATCGGTACAGTCACCCCTTAGCCCGATTCTTCAAAATTCTATGCACAATCATATAAAACAAACAGAGAACTGAGTCTGACATACATAATGTCCATTCACTTTGGTTATTGGCATCAAATTAGGAATCAATGTATACAGCTTTTAGAACTAAAAATTAACAAAAATCTTCAGTGGATATAAATCAAGGATACAATATATAAGCAACTTTCTAAAATTGTTCTGCTTTTACAACAAGCAAATTTGTTCATAGCACTGGGCCCCAAGGACGCCAGTAAACTTACATCCAGCTAAATTTTAAGAAGTACAAATCTTTGAATCCAATGACAACAGTGAAGAAAATTTAAAAGTATCATCCATGTCAGTAACATATAAAAGAAGATCATTCCAACGACAACAAAACAACGCGTCATACTAACCATTGTCCATTCCAGCAACAACAAATCAGCACTCGAAATCCATAACAAATTAACGATAGAAGGTAAGTTGAGAACATTTTTTAGATGTACTAATATTGAACAGGTTGAGGGTCACATGGTAGGAACACGAATTGAACAAGAAGAGCATGAGACACTAATATCCATAATATTGTTATCTAGTCAACATATTTCCCCTAGGGCCTCGTGGATCGCTGCCCTCCAATCTTGCAGAACGACGAAGAATGAGAAGAAAGATACAACGGAGAAGATGAAAGTAAAGGTAAAAGTGATAGATTGATTTGTTCGATTGTGTGTTGTTTAATCAGCCGTCACCTCTCATCTATTTATGAGGCGACTGGACTTCCCGTATAAGAAAAGGGCTCCAAATGCCGTCCGAATCTTTCTGAATTAACCGAACTTGGATGTAGGTAAGTCTGAGACATCAGTTTGGTTTTTGGTTCTCATAGGCCACAAAAATGACCTTGGATGAAGATGCGCTCAAAAGAAAATTTAGTCGTTTCGATGAGGCAAACAACTTTCATGTTGAACGTTTTTCAATCCGAGGTCATCCTGAAGGCCGAATAGCCCACACAAAACATACAATTACTAGCGCTACCCATCAGACATCAGCCATACGAGTGTCGGATGGTGCGCCAATTTTTTGGCTCATGACAGGACCAGGAGTGTGGCTTAAACTTTTGCATACGACTTCAGATCGAGACATATTTTATATCAAAATCGATCATCTCGACGAGACGAAGACAATTCGTGTAAAGTTTTCTCATACAAGGCTTTCTTGGAGGCCTAATTGGCTGAACAGTACACTGCATACAAAATCCTAACACTTTAAGCACAACTTCGGCCCTCGAGCTGAGATCGGATGGTGATGGCCCAAACTTCAAAGATGTTCATATCGACAAGAAGTAACTTTTTCATGTAGATCACTTCTCCATTTGAAGCCATCTGAATTAAGTTATTGACCATGCCAAAATCGGGTGTCAAACAGCAGCATGTAGTATGTGGGGTGGAAATAACTATGCGACACAAAACAGCTAGAGCAGCAAAGAAGAAACTTAATTTATTGGCTTACTTGCTTTTAATTTTATCATCTCAGATCTGTAAGGAATACAATTTTTGAACTTCGTGAGCCACCATTGTAACCAATGACGACATGAGTCCTACAATAATGTCATTAACTAAATTATGCCATCACCTTCTATAACACATGTATAGGAGAAAAGATATTCAGACTTTAACATGACTGAGAAACACAAGAGAGATCAGTTAAAAACAGAAACATAATTAAGTGGCTGTTTTTGGCATGGCCACAACATACTTACTGATGGGATCAATTCTAGTCCTTTCGATAAGTAAGAGTGTCGAACCCAACAAGGAGCAAAAGAAAATGACAAGCGGTTTTCAGCAAGGTATTATCTGCTGGCACCGGAATTATCGGTAACGGATAGTTTGATAGCAAGGTAATTTGTAACGAGAAACAAGTAGTAACCGTAAAAAAAGTGCAGCAAGGTAGCCCAATCCTTTTTGTAGCAAAGGACGGGCTGGACCGGTCTCTTATAATAAGTAAAGCATTCTTGAGGACACATGGGAATTTCATCTAGTCATTTTCATCATGTTTGTTTGATCCGCGTTCGTTACTTTGATAATTTGATATGTGGGTGGACCGGTACTTGGGTGTTGTTCTTACTTGGACAAGCCTCCCACTTATGATTACCCCCTCTCGCAAGCATCCGCAACTACAAAAGAAGAATTAAGATAAATCTAATCATAGCTTGAAACATATGGATCCAAATCAGCCCCTTATGGAGTAGCGCATAAACTAGGGCTTAAGCTTTTGTCACTCTAGTAATCCATCATCTAATAACTACTTCACAATGCCTTTCCTTGGGCCCAAAGATGGTGAAGTGTCATGTAGTCAACGTTCACATGACACCACTAAAGGAAGCAACAACATACATATCATCAAAATATCGAACGAATACCAAATTCAAATGATTACTTATGACAAGACTTCTCCCATGTCCTCAAGAACAAATGTAACTACTCACAAATCATATTCATGCTCATGATCAGAGGGGTATTGAATAGCATCAAAGATCTAAACATAAAATCTTCCACCAAATAAACCAACTAGCATCAACTACAAGATGTAATCAACACTACTAGCAACTCACATGTACCAATCTGAGGTTTTGAGACAAAAATTGAATACAAGATATGAACTAGGGTTTGAGATAAGATGGTGCTGGCGAAAATGTTGATGAAGGTTGGCCCTCCCACAATGAGAAGATCGTTGGTGATGATGATGACTTCGATTCCCCCTCCCGGAGGGAAGTTTCCCGGCCGGGAAGTCTTCATGCACGTGCCCATGGGGACCAACTTTCGGGAGCCGCAGTCATCGCCATTGAATCCTTGAATTGATCTGAATAACCTGACACCAAATCTCGTCATTGCGTATGTATGACGAGAAACCCTAACGTCACCGCTCTGCAGAGCATTTAGGAATATACGCCGGAGCTCCATCTAATTTGTCCCGACGAACGAATTTGAGGAGGATCGAATGCCAGAAGCGAATAAGTGCCACCATCCGTCTGAGCGCCGCCTTGCGAGAACCAAAATCCTACCTATCTAAGCCGACACACAAGGAATACCCTCCCCGCCACCGTCCGTCGGAGCGGCAGGCAGAGGGGAGGCGAATCCACGGGCTCGTCGGCTGAGATCGAAGGGAAGAAGGCTCTCCCTAGTCGTCTTGGGATAGGGGAAAGGTTTAACAATGTCTAAGGTCTTCGATTTTATAAAATGAAAATTTCTCAATCATTTGAGAAATAGACATTATGTCTATAATAGAGTTGCACCAATTTGTTTTGTGCAATGCAACTAAAAACTAGCAAATCCTATATACTTAGTTGATCGCCACTACTTCAATCTATTTTAAAATGCACACTTGCCACCTCATGAACTTCACTACTTTTATTTCTCTTAATTTGCATGCATGAAAATGCTGCCTATGAATTCTTTCACCTCTAAAAAAAGATAATAATCTCAACATGCACACATCCCATTTTATTAGGAATCCAATAACTCCCGAACGTTCAGGATTTGAGCAGTTCGTCATGAAAGTTTTGACATGGCAACTTTAGTTCGTAGGGGATGGCAACTTTAGTTGATAGGCGATGGCAACTTTATCCTTTTTCGTTTTTATCAGAAAATTGCCATGTTTTCCTAATCTCACGCAAACTAAAGTTACCATCTAACAGCGTTCGGGTTGCCATGCTTAACTCCCGAATGTTCGGGAGTTATCATTACCATTTTATTAACACCATTACTTTTACTTCTCTCAACATGCGTGAGAAATACTACTTAATAATTATTTTATAACTACATAATGATCAAATACAACAAATCATGTGTACTTTTATCTTTAGTCCCATCTTTAAATTCAAGACAAGCAAATCTACTAAATTAATATATTGCAACCAATTCCCGCATGTTCGCACTGCAACACGCGGGGGTATCATCTAGTTTCGATGAAGGCAGAGTCATATCAATCTTTGTTTTGTGCAATGCAACTAAAACATACCAAAAGTTTCCCGGTCATCGCAAGTGAATGTAACCATTTAACATGAATATATAGAATTATGTAGCAAACATAATAAAGCAGATGTAATGAGAAGCCCATATATATAAGAATTCAATCATGAAAGTTTCCTCCCTCGATCAGTTGGTAGTGGGATCAAGGACGTGCCCTGCGAACAGGGTAGCACCGGACACCTCCTCGATGACGAAGAATCCAAAGGGATGGTCAGCCACGAAGTCCACATGCGGCGCGTCACTAGTTTCCCAAGAACATAACGTCATAGTCTCAACGGTGGCAGCCGCGGCCTCGGTGCCTTCCTCGTTCACCTCGATGACGGCCCTGTGGATTATTTTCTCCAGCGCCAGCTTCCCTGCGCCGTCTTCCGCCATGTCGGACAAGTCGGCCTTCCCCGGCTCGAATGCCTCGTTGAGGCCCATGTCCTGGAGAATGCCCTCCATTGTCATGCCGAAGTTGACCTTGAATTTAGGCAGCCGGAAATCGCTGACCATGACGTCGCCACACGGCAGGTGCTTGCGCACAAAGTCGGGGTTGCTGGCGATTTTGTCGGTGAGCTCCCACAGCCCGTCGCGTGCGTCGGGGAGGAAGACACACATCGAGTAGATCGGCGGCGGCTGCGGCTGGCCCTGCGAGGAGTGACCTTGCACGTAGCGGAGCTGGAGCACCTTGAAGCCGTCGTGGCAGGCGATGTCGTGCCAGCCCAAGCCGCGCACGAAGGGCGCGTCCACGGCGGTGCCGTCGAGGCAGTGGAACTTGTCGTCCTTGGTGAGCTCCTTGTCGAACGGCTTCTCCCACATGCCCTTGAAGTAGATGGCGTTAGCGAGCACCAGGACGGTGAGGCTGGACAGCGCGTCGGGGCTGAGGATGGAGGGGATGAGGTCGTTCGTCGCAGCCGCCACCCATGCGTTGATCTGCTCCCTTGCCTCCTCCGGCTGCACGTACCACGATCGACATACATAATGACAATCGTATACTAGTGCATGCCATGCCACAGATCGATCACGGTGACGGCCGATGTACACTAACCTTTTGGCGGAAGTTGACGGCGCGGGCGACGGCCTTGTACGACTCGGCGGCGGTGGCGCGGTAGGCGGGGCGGAGGGGCATCGTCACGTCGTGCCACACGCTGCAGGCCAAGCTGACGCGCGGGCCGCCCGTCCGGGACCCGTCGGCGAGGGCATGCTCTCCCAGCGCGCGGACGTGGCCGGCGAGGAAGTCCCGGGAAGGCGCGCCAAGGACGCGGAGCAGCTCGTCGAGGGTGCCCTCGCGGGCGCCGGCGGCCACCAGGGCCAGCGCCGCGTAGACGGACAGCGGCGACGTGACCAGGTTGCCGCTCCTGCCGGCGTCGTCGTCGGCGAGGCGCTTGTTCAGGACGAGGGCGAACGCCTGCAGGCCGTCGCTGGCGGCGGGGGCGAACGCCTGCAGGCCGTCGCTGGCGGCGAGGGCGTGATCGGGCTCGCCTTCCGCCTCCGTGCAGAGCCATAGGCAGCGGAGGACGAGCTCCTTGACAGATTGCATCTTGTCTTGCGTTGACGCGCACTAGCTGCGGCCTGGCGATTTCTTTGCTTATGGCCCGAAAAAAACTACAATGTGGGTTGCCCGTCTCCTCTGTTCGTGTGCGGTTGCCGAGAAATTGGTCCACGCATAGACAACAGCAGCATTTCAAGAAGAAAAATTTGCAGCTGAGAGAAGTTGCAGAAGGTGAAGGAGTGCTGGCGCACGACGGGTATGGAAGACCGACTAAGGTTTTTTTACCCGTGGCGGGAGCTACCGGCACAGCTCCAGCCAATCACCTCGCACCACCGCACACTGTAGTTTATACCAATGGCGGTGCCAGGATCAAAACCTTGTGATGTCAAGCTTTACTATGAACTTTTTTGGATCATATAAAAGTTACAAAAAATATTATACTTTGATACGGACAAACAAAGCTTTACTAGGAGGAGGCTGCTGGAGCTCGCAGGAGAGTTGGTCGCGGCGCGATGGATCCTCCGGGAGGTGACGGCGCGGGACAAGCGGGCGACAGCGCGACGAGGCCATGGCGGCGGGGCGGCGCTCGGCCAGGAGTGGCTGCCTTGCAGCAGCCAAGCCTGCTTCGTCCTCGGACGCCTCCGTCGCAGTGCCTGCTCCAGGTCACGGTCGTGGAAGATGGAGGTGGAGGCGCGGGCTGGATGTGCCCGATCTGGATCGCAGGAGCTCGGCACGGGCGTCTGCCGAAGTTGGCTTGACGGCTGTTTTGTGCGGCTCCTGGCGGACCTTGATGCCGGGAGGGAGACCTGCAAGCTCGCAGCCGCTGGGAGGTTTGGTTTGTCGGGTTGTTTTGCTTCTGCCTGTGTGGCCTCGGTGGACCACGACAACTCGGCTACACCGACGAAGTGCTGCTGCGGCGGTGGAATGGTCAACCTGGACGGTGTGGCCCCAATCCGGAGGGTAGGGATGGAGGTGCACAGCAATTCAGAAGAAAATCCAGCCAGTATTTAGTCGGTGCAGGGGGTGATGGCGTCCGTGGGTGTCGTTTCCTTTCTTGAAGACCGCTGGCGACTCAACACGCCAGCTGTAGCTGCGGCTCTGACGCAGAGTTGAATGGATTCGATTGTGGCTATAGGAGTACGCCGCCTGCTAAGCAACTGCCGTCTGAAGAAGTTCCATAGCGTTCCGGGCTTCTATCACAACAGGAGACTCGCCTTCAATGGGAAGAACCGCCAGCTGTGAAGCCGCAACAATCATGTTATCCAACGGGTTGGAGTAATGACCTGGAGGTGTTGATACTCGCTGAGGTGGGGTTAAATCTATATGGGGCGGTTCTGTTGTGCGGGGCTGAGCCCCCACTCTGGCCACAGGCGCCTCAGCGGCCCGGCTCACACCAGGCGGATTACTTGGCCCTGCACCGGGCGTAGTGAAGAGATTACTCCCCTCAAACTGTGGAGGCAAACGGCGCTGGTGCCTCCTCCGTAGGACAGTGTTTGATGCATTATGGTCCAGACTTAAATGAAAGGCCTCCGCGCATATCCGTTGTGTCTCAGCCTCTGATGACCCACAAGTATAGAGGATCTGTCGCAGTCCTTTTGATAAGACTGTTGTGACGCCCTCGATTCAATCGTACACTAATCATACACGCAAACGTGTACGATTAATATCAGGAACTCACGGGAAGATATCACAACACAACTCTAAAAGTAAAATAAGTCATACAAGCATCATAATACAAGCCAGGGGCCCCGAGGGCTCGAATACAAGTGCTTGATCATAGGCAAGTCAGCGGAAGCAACAATATCTGAGTACAGACATAAGTTAAAACAAGTTGCCATAAGATGACTAGCACAAACTGGGATGCAGATCGAAAGAGGCGCACGCCTCCTGCCTGGGATCCTCCTAACTACTCCTGGTCGTCGTCAGCGGCCTGCACGTAGTAGTAGGCACCTCCAGTGTAGTAGAAGTCGTTGTCGACGGTGGCGTCTGGCTCCTGGGCTCCAGCATCTGGTTGCGACAACCAGGTAGAAAGGAAAGGGGGAAAAGGGGGAGAAAAGCAACCATGAGTACTCATCCAAAGTACTCGCAAGTAAGGATCTACACTACATATGCATGGGTATATGTGTAAAGAGGCAATATCGGTGGACTGAACTGCAGAAAGCCAGAATAAGAGGGGGATAGCTAGTCCTATCGAAGACTACGCTTCTGGCAGCCTCTGTCTTGCAGAGTAGATTGAAGTCCTCCAAGTAGCATCGCATAGCATAATCCTACCCGGCGATCCTCCCCTCGTCGCCCTGTGGAAAAGTGATCACCAGGTTGTCTGTGAAACTTGTCTGGGTGTATTTTATTAAGTATCCAGTTCTACTTGTCATAAGGTCAAGGTACAACTCCGGGTCGTCCTTTTACTGAGGGACACGGCTATTCGAATAGATAAACTTCCCTGCAGGGATGCACCACATAACCCAACACGCTCGATCCCATTTGACTGGACACACTTTCCTGGGTCATGCCCGGCCTCGGAAGATCAACACGTCGCAGCCCCACCTAGGCACAACAGAGAGGTCAGCACGCCGGTCTAAATCCTATGCGCGCAGGGGTCTGGGCCCATCGCCCATTGCACACCTGCACGTTGTGTACGCGGCCGGAAGCAGAACTAGCCCCCTTAATACAAGAGCAGGCTTACGTTCCAATCCGGCGCGCGCCGCTCAGCCGCTGACGTCACGAAAGCTTCGGCCGATACCACGACGTCGAGTGCTCATATCTTTCCCGCGTAGTTGGTTAGTGCGTATAGGCCAGTGGCTAGACTCAGATCAAATACCAAGATCTCGTTAAGCGTGTTATTATGAAGCAACCGTGAACGCCGACCAGGGCCAGGCCCACCTCTCTCCTAGGTGGTCTGAACCTGCCCTGTCGCTCCGCCTCAAAGTAACAGTCGGGGACCGTCAGGAACCCAGGCCCACCTCTACCGGGATGGAGCCACCTGTCCTTCCAGCCCCCACATCGGAATCACTTGCGGGTACTCACCGAGCCAACCCGACTTTGGTCACCATCTGTATAGTATGTATATATGTATAGTATATACCCGTGATCACCTCCCAAGTGATCAGGACCCGATAGTATAGCAAGGCAGACTGACAAGAATGTAGGGCCAATGATGATAAACTAGCATCCTATACTAAGCATTTAGGATTGGGGTAAGGTATCAACGACTGTAGCAACAATGACCGGCTATGCATCAGAATAGGATTAAGGAAAAGTAGTAGCATGCTACACTACTCTAATGCAAACAGTATAGAGGAGAATAGGCGATATCTGCTGATCAAGGGGGGGCTTGCCTGGTTGCTCTGGCAAGGAGGGGTCGTCAACATCGTAGTCGAACTGGGCAGCAGCAGCGTCGGTCTCGTAGTCTACCGGAAAGAAGAGGGGGGAGAAACAATGAATACAGAGCAAACAAAGCATCAAAAAATATAACAAGGCAATACATTGTGCCAGGGGTGATCTGACGCAGGGATAGGTGATACTGGCGAAGGGGGGAAACATCCGGGAAAGTATTCCCGGTGTTTCGCGTTTTCGGACAGATGAACCGGAGGGGAAAAGTTGTGTGTTTGCTATGCTAGGGATGTGTGGCTGACAAACGGGTTGCGTGTTCGGATTCGTCTCGTCGTTCTGAGCAACTTTCATGTACAAAGTTTTTTCATCAGACTTACAGTTTATTTTCTATGATTTTCTAAAGTTTAACAAATATTCTGAAATTTCTCAATTTACTTTAATTCGAAATAAAAATAGGCAAATTGCTACGGGTACACAGGAGTGTACCCAGCAACGTCTACATGTGCATGACGTGTGGAGCCAGGGGCTGGGTTGACCCGCTCAATATTTTGACTGGTCAAACAATGAACAGTGACTGTGGCCCCACCTGTCATACACACAAAACCTTTAATTTTATTTAACATTTATTTAAAAAGGAGGGCCTGCGTGTCAGTTGCACAACTAGCTAATTAAGTAATTAAAATACCTAATCTAATCCTACCCTAACACTAAACAAATCCTATCACTAATCCAAAGCGTTGGCTGGCTCAAGCACGCACAGGAGCGCGCATCGCATGTCCGTGAGCATTGGATGCTCGTGTACTCGCATTCCTGGACAGCCATGGACGAAGCACATCCCGACGAGCATGCACAGAAGGCCGTGGGCCGACGAGCAGCGGTGAGTTCGGCCGGTCGCGGCAGCAGCGACGAGTTCGACCGCTCGCGGCAGCAGTAACAAGCAGCGGCAGCAGAACAGCAAAACAGCAACGACAACGCAACAACATCAGTAGGCGATGGCGGGCTCCAGCAGTAGCGACGGCTGAGCAGTAGCAAAAGTAGCAGCGGTCAGCTTGAGCAGTAGCAGCGCATGAGTCCCAGCAGCAAGGCAGCAGCGCGAAGCAACAGCGGGTAGCAGAGGCGGCGGGCGAGCGCGGGCAAGGAAGGCTACGGGCGCCGCGGCACACGGGCGCGAGGCCAGGGGCGCGCAGCCACGCGCAGGCGGTCGCATCCAGAGGGCGCGACCGATGCACACAGGGGCGCAGGGGAGTACAACGGGAGTGGTGGTGAGCACAAGCTCCCACAGAGATCCGGGCGCGAGGTGGTGGAGGCATACGACAATGGATTCGATGGGGGAAGAGGGGGAATCGGACAAGGGCCTCACATTGCGCCTGTAGGGGTGCACAGTAGGCTCGGGGGAGGCTTGGGGACGGCAGATTCCGGCGATGGCGACGGCGGTGCAGAGGAGGAAGACGATGTCGGGGACGGCGTTCCGGGCGCCCGGCACCGCGCGACTTGACGAGGAGGCGTAGCCGGCGGAGGTGGAGCGAGCGGACACGTCGGAGAGGCGAGGCGGCAGCCGTAGCTATGCGGACGGCAGCGCCATAGCCATGGCAGCGCTCAGGCGTGGGCGGATCTGGAGCGCAAGGGCGAGAGGGAGAAGGAGAGGGCGAGGGGAGCAGGCACCGAGTGGGAGAGGGGATCGAGGGGGCGCGGCTGTCGCCCTTATCCCCTCAGGACGG